CGTGGCAGAGGACAGGATAGCTGCGCAAGCTCGGCGCCGAGCTCATCCTCCCGACGAACAGCGACACCACCTGCAACCTTGGCAAAGGCTCCCTCATCGACTACGGCATGTGCAAGAAGGGAGTCGCTGATACAGTCAAGCTCGAGACAATCGCCGAGGTACCATGGAAGACCCACGTCGTGCTGGTTCTCTCACTTCGGGCTGGTAGACAGCATTGGTGGAACAGAATATTGGTCGTTCCCAAGCAGTTGCCCACGGTCCCACGGCCGACGAAGCAGGCCGACCCGAACAGAAAGAAGAGGAGGAGGAGGAGGAGGAGGGAGGAGAGGAGGAGGAGGAGGAGGAGGAGGAGGAGGAGGAGGAGGAGGAGGACGACGACGACGACGACATGAGAGGAGGAGAAGGAGGCGGAGGAGGAAGGTGGAGGAGGAGGAGGAGGAGAAGGAGGAGGAGGAGGAGAAGGAAGGATGAGGAGGATGGGGAGGAGGAGGGGGAGGATGAGGAGGAGGAGGAGGAGGAGGAGGAGGAGGAGGAGGAGGAAGAGGAGGAGCATGAGGAGGAGGAGCAGGAGGAGAAGGAGAAGGAAGGAAGGATGAGGAGGATGAGGAGGAGGAGGAGGAGGAGGAGGCGGAGGCGGAGGAGGCGGAGGAGGAGGAGGAGGAGGCAAACGAGGAGGAGGCACCGCGCGCCCGAGCCCGCCCCCGCCGCGCAGGGCGCACGGGCGGTGCCCCGGCGCGGCCCGTGGAGGACCGGGTGCCCGCGGCCAAGAGCCACAGCTACCTGTGCGAGAAGCTTCCGGGAGGCGGCCCCCCCGAGGCTCGTGGGGGGCATAGCCAGGGTAGCGGCCATAGGGGCCGCTGGACAGCCCACGGTGGGCGCCGCCTCCCCCTGTACGAGAAGCTTCCCGGGGTCGGCCCCCCCGAGGCTCGCCCCTGGGCCTCCCCGATCGGGGGCGGCTTTGCACAAGGCCCGCGCCCGCATCGGGTGCGGGGCACGGCGCGGCCGCCCGGTCAACCTGCACAACTGGGCTGAGAGGTGGCTGCCGTCGTCCAGCACGGCATCGGCCACGCTCGTGAACGGCGCCGCGAACCGCGTGTCAGAGCACGGCATGGGGACCAGCAGGGCAGCGGACTGCAGGAGAAGCAGCATGGGCACAACCCGCCTTGGAGACAGCGGCGGCAGGAGAAGTCCGACGCCAGCAGCAACACTCGTATCGACCACGCCTCTGCGAAAGCAGACGCCAGCACCAACACCGATCACATGATGAACCCGTGCGCGGCCATCTTCATGCCGGCGGAGACCAACGACAGCTAGAACTCTACCTGGAAGCAGCTGCGGCCCGACCTGCGGCATCTCACCGCGGGACCGCACACGTCACGCAGGCCATCGACAGCGCCATCATGTTGCAGGCCACACTACGCCGACGTACGACTCCGCCGACGACCGTCCCGACCACCCCAGCCGCCCCCGCCGTCTTTTCCGCCGCGCCAAGCGACGCCCCCGCCGAAGTCCCCGCCGAAGTCCCACCCGACGACCTACCCGACACACTAACTCACGCCCAGCCCCACACCCCTCCCGACGCCCACCGCAACGACCCCTTGGACGCTTCACCAAACACCCAACCCGACGCCCTTCCCGACCCCTCACAATACGCCCAACCCGACGTCCCTCCCGACGACGCACCCGACCCCAGCAGAACGACCACACGACGCCCAACTCGACCTCCAGGCGGGGGACGATCCTCGTCACGGGCATCTGGGGAGGCATCGACAATGCGGCTCTGCATGCGACCTTCAGCCTCTTCGGCAAGATCCGCACATCTTACATCGTTGCCGACGGCGACGGCATCCCGCACGACCACGGCCACGTCCACTTCGAGACCGAGGGGGCGACCAGGCAGGCCACCCGCGGCACTGCGGGCACATCGTGCGGCAGTCGCACGCACTGTGGGCCACCGACACGAGCCTAGACGACACCCACGACGACGCTCCCTCCGACGCCCCCGCCGACGCCCCCTCCGACACCTCCGCCGCCCCCCACGACTCCCACCACGACGCCGCGACGGCGCTCACGACGACGAAGCGGCACTCCAGACGGCCTCCTACCTTATCCGCCACACCCCAAGTCCACGGCGCGACCAAGGGCCCCAAGGTCACGGATGGCTCACACAAGGACATCGGTTTCAAGGCCTCCAAGGACATCAATTCCACGAAGCACCTCACCTCCAATTTCGCGGCCTCCCAGGACTCAAATTTCATGCCTGGCGCACACAAGGACCTCCATTTCGCGGACCTCCAGGACTCCACTTTCACGGCCTCCAAGAACTTCAATTTCGCAGACCACATCACGGATCCAGAGGCTACCTACCAGAACATCGATTTCATGGCTATGAGGGTCCGGGGAAGCGGCCATAGGGGCCGCGTGCTACTACCCTGCTCACCACGCGATGACCCCACACGACCCCACGGCACAACCAGACAACCTCCACGAACCCCCACTCGACGGCCACCACGACGGCAGCGCCCCGAGTGGCCGCATACCCTGCGAGGGAGCCCGTGGGGGACATACCCGGGGTAGCGGCCATAGGGGCCGCTGGACAGCCCACGGTGGGCGCCGCCTCCCCCGCGGCCGGCTCGAGATCCCGGGTGGCCGCATGCCCTGAGAGGGAGCCCGTGGGGGGCATACCCGGGAAAGCGGTCATAGGGACAGCCGAAGCCACCCCAAGGAGCCCCACGCCTGCCCCCCCACCGACTTCCCCACGACCCGAAGGCCCCCTCGACGACCCCGCGGCCCCCACGACGGACCCCACGACCCCCCAGCCGAGCCCCGAGTGGTCGCACGCCCTGAGAGGGAGCCCGTGGGGGGCATACCCGGGGAAGCGGTCATAGGGACAGCTGAAGCCACCCCCACGACCCGAACGCCCCCTCGACTACCCCACGGCCCACGCGACAGACCCCACGAACCCCCAATTGAGCCTCAATGGCCGCGTGCCCTGCGAAGGAGCCCGCGGGAACCACCGGGGCCACGCACGACGACGACGCCGACCACCCCGACGACGACACTCACGACGCCCCGACCGACGCCCTACCCGACACCCTTCACGACGCCCACCCCGACGCCCCAGCCGACCCCCATCCCGACAGCTTACACGACGCTCTTCCCGACGCCCTTCCCGACGCCCTACCCGACGCCAAACCCGACGCCCTTCCTGCCGCATTCCTCGACGCCCAACCCGACGCCCAACCAGACGCCCAACCCGTCGCCCTTTCCGACGCCCAACTCGACGCCCAACCCGACCCCAAACCCTACGCCCCCACCGACGCCTCACCCGACGCCAAGGCCGACCCCCTGCGCTACTCCCCTCCCGACTCTGCCCAACCTTACGCCCAACCCGACGCCGCCCGAACCGACGACCGAATCGACGCCAAAACCTACCCCCTACCCGACGCCCTTCCCGACGCCCGAACCGACGCCCAAACTGACGCCCAACCCGACGCCCAAACCGACGCCCCGACGCCTTTCCCGACGCACCTCCCGACGCCCTTCCCGACGCCCAACCCGACGCCAAATCCGACGCCTTCCCCGACGCCCTCCTCGACGCCCTTCCCAACTTCCAGCCTCACGCCCATCCCGACACCCTTCCTGACGTCCAAACCGACGCCCGCCGCAACGCCCTTTCCCAACGCCCTCCCTTACGCCCAGTCCCACGCCCAGCCCCACGCACAGCAGGCACCCAACACTCAGCCTTACCGAGCTCACGAGCAGCCACCACCCACGCCACCAAAACCATTGCCGCCACCAGAACCGTGCGCCAATCCCACAGTCCGAGTTCACGCCAGAGGGACCTCTACCAGCGAGAGCAGACCCAGCGCCAGCGCCGACGCCAGCTGAACCAGCACCAGCACTGGAGCCGACACAAGCACCAGCACCAGCACTAGAGCCGACACAGGCGACGCCAGCGCCACACCTCGAACCACGTACAAGACGACCCTGGCTTCCGAGCCTTGCCGCGGTGCTGGCGACGCCACCATACAACGCACCTTCTAGGGTGCAACGCCCCTCCGACCCCTAGCGCCCCCGGTCCTCACCGACTGGCGCCGCCCCTGAGGCAACGCAACCCGCCGATGGCGGCACTCTGCCACAACCACCTCCCCCCCCCTGGTACCCCTCTTCGGCTACGCACCCACGACGTTGGCGGCGACACCTGTCAGAGGCCTCTGGCCCCGCCTCCGCCGCGGGCGCATGGCCTGCGACCACCCCTGCCCACGTCTCCGAGCAGAGACCTGGCCACTCTCCCCCCCTCCCAAAAGCCCCACGCCCTTCCCACCCACCCCTACGACCACCACCCACCCTCCGCTACGACAAGTGGGTCATGAGCATCAACTTCTTTTCCGACTCCTCCGACCTCATCTACTCCGATTTCAAGTACCCCTTCTACTGAGCCCGACTGCGACGGCAACTACCTCTGAGGTCTAGACAGGTCAGGACAGGTGGGGGGGGGATGAGGTTTGCGCTGGGTGGGACTGGACGATGGGGGGTGGGGTAGAAAGGCGCACGACAGTCGACCCGCAGATCCCCTTCCTCGTTTCCTCCCCTCCTTCGTTCGTTCCGCCGTCCGTGTCCGCCTTCGACCTCCTCTTTCGAGCCCCCGTCCGTTTCTCCCCCCCTCGTACCTCGCCGGCCCCACCACCAGAGATCGGCCCATTTTCGGAATGGCCCCCTCCTGCTGTGCCATACGGCAACCGCAGGAGGGGGCCAATGGCAGCAGGGAGTACCCATCTACCGCCATGAGCAGCAGCAGACGGAGGAGGAGGAGAAGGGAGGGGAGGAGGAGGAGGAGGAGGAGGAGGAGGAGGAGGAGGAGGAGGAGCAGGAGGAGCAGGAGGAGGAGGAGGAGGAGAAGGAGGAGGAGGGGGAGGAGGGGGAGGAGAAGGAGGACCGGGAACAGGAGCAGGAGGAGCAGGAGGAGGAGGAGGAGGAGGAGGAGGAGGAGGAGGAGCAGGAGGAGGAGGAGAACGAGGAGGACACCTAGCTGAGGAAAAGCGCACCTGGGCGCGCGCTCGGCTAGGGCAGCCACTGCGCCGAGCGGCCCAAGAGGGGCGGAGCCCGCCGCCGCCGGCGCTCTGCCGCGGCCGGCGTGCGAGTACGGATCTGACCGCAGGAAACCCTTGCAGGAAACCCAAGATGGGGCACAGAAGGCTATACTTGACTACCTACCAGACCACACCAACCCAACCCGAAGACCCGAATTTCGGGTTTGCGGGGGTATGGGCTCCATATGTGTTTTTTCGATGCTCTCGGACCCCCCCCTACTGGAAATGGAGGGTAAATTGAGGCCTTCGGGTTGGGTTGGGGTGGTTTGGTGGGTGGTGAATACTAGCACAGGCGCCCCCCATTGGATGCACACGCACGGACCGAACATTCAGTATAGACATCTTTCGATCGTGTCGTTATCCGTGCGGTGAGGCCAGAAAGTGCCCGCCACCGAGCAATTACTCCAAGGTGATCGAGCGCGCGCGTCGCCCCTTCGGGGGGGGGGGGGGGGGCGACGCTCACATGATAAAACAATGTGTTGGCGACACCGACCCCCAGCCCTGAACATCCGCGCGCAGGGTGCAACCGGGGGGAACTCAGGGCACCCTGAACGCAGAACTTCCGCAGCGCCCGCGGGAGGTCGCCGCACACCGCCGGGAGCGAGAAGAAAACCACGGCAACTGCCCTGAAGAATAGCATCGGGCTTCTTGACGCGCGCCCCCACTGTGCATGCCCCCCCTGGCTGCGGCAGAAGATGACCCGTCTGGTGCTCGGCCTCGGCCCCCTCTCTGTGCTCCCGGACGGCCACGCGTCGCGACAAAGCACGACCGGAAGCTGCTGGTCATAACCAGCCTCGAACGTATCCCTATCCCTAAGATGGGCGAGCAAAAAGCGAGGACAATCTTAGGGATAGGCCCTCAAAAGCTGAGGGAATCCTTAAGATCGGCATCGAGGTGAGGTGATGTGAAACATAGGGATAGGGATATGTTCCAGGCTGGTAAAGCCACTTTCGGCCTCCTGCGAGGAGACCACGACGCCGCACGCCGGGGCCTGCCCTGCTCCCCGCGAGGCACCGGCACCAGCCCGCCAGCGCCCCGAGGGCCCGGCAATGCGCCCCGAGCCCCCTGAGGGAGCCCTCGCCGCCCTGCTCCCGGAGACGTGCGCGCGCGGGAGCAGTGCCCGGGGCGCGGCGCGCTCCCTCGCCCACCCCGCCCCGCCCCGCCCGCAGCGCCCCCCCCCCCGGTCGCCCCCCTCGGGGCCCTTCGCGCGGTCCGAGGCCGCCTCGCTCGAGCGTCTCCAGGCGGCCACGTCGACGCGCCCCGAGGCGGCCCGTGGCGGCTCCACGCCGCCCTCGGGACGGCCTGGCGGCCGAGGACGGTGACTGCATTGGGCCAGGAAACCTTCGATCAGGAATCCATTACCAGCATGGAACATCCCTATCCCTATGCTGGGCATCCCCTCATCACGATGCCAATCTTAGGGATTCCCGTATTTTTTGAGGGCGAATCCCTAAGATTGTCATCGCCTTTTGGCGTGTCGATCTTAGGGATAGGGATAAGTTCGAGGCTGGTAAATCCAGGGTCTGGAAGCCAGTGGAAAGCCAATCCTGGATTGGCCATGAATATCACCGCCGCCCTCATCAGAGGAGCCACCCTCCAGGGTCTGAGGCCTCTTGGGCACGTGCCTTCACGAACGTCCCCAGCGCACCCCGACAGGACTCCAGGAAGCCCCAGGGGGCCTTGCGAGAACAGGTCAGGGGGTCTCTGGGAGACCAGGCGGCACCGAAGAGCCTCGAACACAGTGCTCGATGTCTGCGCTGCCACCCACCGAGGGTCATCTGCGCGGGCGATCTGCAACGCTCTGCAACACGTTCCATGCACGTTTCTTCCTACTCTGGATGGGATAAGAGTCGGAGACGGGGGTGACTAACCTTGCGATGGAGCTCCCCCGCCCCAACACCCCTAACCTTCCGACAGCCCGCGCCAACCCCCCCCGGTCGACACAGGGGGGCCAGGGGGGGGGGGGGCGATTACCATCCCCCTCGGAATACGGCGAGGGCATTGGAGAAGGAACCATCAAACAAGGAACCCGGGGCCTGGGAGCCGGTGGAACCCCGATTTGCCGTGGCTACCACCGCCGCCCTCATCAGAAAAGGAGTCATCCACGGTCTGCAGCCTCCTATGCAAATTCCTGAACGAGCGCCCCCACCATACTGAAGGGGCCCTAGGACACACGAATAGCTACACACACAAATAACCGGATCCCCCATATTCTCCCATATGTTCTGGGTTTTTGTCCCCCCCCCCACTTCCCATACTTTTTCCCACATTTCCTGGGGTATCGACAATTCATTGTGTCTGAGTGTTTTTTCCCCTCCTGATATTCGGGAGCGGCCAAGAGGGGGGCGCCCAAGAGGGGGGGTGCAAATCATGACCGGCGGCATGTGCGCGGCCCAGCGGGGGGGGCCGGGGACGTAATGAATCAAGAAGAGGCGCCCTGAGATCTGGGGAGATAGCATGGCCCCCGCCATGATATCCCCCCCCCCCTGGTCATCACCCCCCTCTCTTCCGCCCCCGAATGATATACGACGCTGCCCTCTGGTCTGCCGGCCGTGGCTCGGGCAGCGGGCGGCCGTCCTGGACGCGCGGGGCCCCCCCCGGGCGCTCTCGCTGTGAGGCGCAGCGGATGGCACCCGCCGCAACGCCCGCAGACCCCCAGGGTCTGCAGCCTCAGGGGCACAGTCCTGCAGCTGCTCCCCCCCGACGAGGAACAAAAAACGGCATATAGAGACACGCTTTCGGAAATCCGCGCGAATTTCTTGGCTGGCCGCCCTCCCTGGCGCGCCCTCCCCGGCGTGCGAAAAGCGCCGGGGACGACGCAGGAAGCGCCGCACGGGGGGCCCAGCGCCAACAAGAGAAATCCGCGGGGGAGCTCAGAGAACGTACGCGTCGTTCATTTCTAATCGTGCTCATTTCTAATTGTGCTCGTTTCTGATTGTCCCTGGCCCCCCAGTGGCCAGGAAGGGGCCCAGGACAGAACGCATAGAAATGAGAGGATCTCGGCCCCTCGGAAGTCAGAGGACCTTCGCAGAATTAGAAATGAACAGTGTGTAGGCGTCCTTCCGGATGCTTAGCTTCGTGGCGGCGGCTCCCAGCAGGGACCTTCAAGGGCAGCTCGCTCCTGCCAAGCAGGGGGGCGCCCGCGGGTCCTCGCCCCGGGCGCCGCCGCGGCCGTCCAGAGGGCCTCCTACTGGAGGGCGCCAAGGCGGCCCCGAGCTGACACCCTGGGCTTCCCCGGGATGGCTCCCTGGACGGCCCCAGGCGCCCCCAGGACGGCGCCGGGATCGGCCCGAGGCGGCCCCAGAACGGCCCCAGGCAGCCCCCGCCAGCTCCCGCCCCCCCACACACACCCAGCCCCAGGAAGGCCTCGGGAGCACCTCCTGCAGCAGGAAGAAGAAAGCAAGACAACCCTGAGGCCAAGAGGCACCTTAGAAAGCCCCAAGCACGCTGCGATGGAGGCCCAAACCAGCAACGCAGGGCACTGCACGTGGAAGGCCGATCGGCCGTTGTCTTTCCCAGCCGAGGCACCGTGTCGTCCCGTTGGTCCTGGGCCACAAGGTCACGGGCGTGTCGCCTTTTCTGGTTTGCCCTTCAGCGAAGAGGGCCCTGGGCTCAGGCCCGTAGAGCTGCGGCCGCAGCAGCTCCTCTTGAGAACCCCCGCCAAGCAACTCGCCAATCGACTTCCCAGGGCGCCTCCGACCCTGCCCAACCCCCTTCCCCGCTCCCCCGCCCTCAAGGTCTGGCCTTGGCTAGGAGTGCCATGTGGGACCTGCTCTAGAACAGGAGCAGACCTTAGACGACACTACCTTCTCTCCGACCTGGCACTGCGTCGAGCTCAACAGCCGCGTTGTCTACAGACGCATCCACCCCGAATGCGTCTTCACACGCCACGACCCACCGTGTGTCCACAAACGCTCGTGGCTAGAAGGTGAGAACGGCAGTTGGCACAGGCCCCAGACACTGGTCTTGCAGCCTTGCAGCAGCAGCAGACCTTGCCCTCCAAGGCTGGCAGGACCCCCCCCCCCACCCTTGCCCTGGTCGGGCGCGCGCCACCTCCCGCCGCAGAGGCGCAGGACGCCTCCGGGGGGGGCTGCGTGCCGCCGCCGCGGAGTCACCCTCCGCCTGCTGCGGGCCACGGACTCTGCTGCCGTCACCCGCTGGGCAACGTTTCGCAGCTGCGACCGACCGCAGCGCTGCTGCGAGGCGGGGATCTATCCATATCCACCGCCACCGCCCGTGGAGCCGACGTCCTGGGACCCCAGCGGGCGGGAGACACAGATCCAGTTCGGCCCGAGGGGGCACGAATGTATCCATATCCCACCGCCTGCCGAGGCCCCCGAAGATCGGTCCCCCAAGCGCTCGTCCTGGATTAATCTCCACCTCGGAGCTGCGGCGCTGCCGTCCAGCTTCGCAGGCGCGGTGGCGGAGTTGCGCGGCAGCGCGCGCATATGGCAGAAGTCATGGAAGGATATGTCAGGCCCAGACCTCGTGCACACCGGACTGGGTATAACTTTTATCCACCAGAGCATCTGCACGGAAAATCTCAGTCTCATTTGTCTTGCTGGGCTGCCTGGCGCCTTGCATCGCCTTTGCGACGCTGTTCGACGGGTGAGGAGCATCAAACACTCTGAGAACATCACTCGATGCCGTCGGCTGGCCATCCGCCTGCTCCGGAGAAGTTTGCTTCGTATCGCTTGAAAGTTCCTTTTCTTGCTCCTTGTGGATCCATGCGTGCCAAGCTCGTGGGAAGACCACGTGCATAAACTCTTTGTCGTCTACTGTTCCGCCCCGGTCTTTGTCGAAAATCTCGAACAGGTCCACAAGTCTCTCGTCGCGCAGGTTCACCTGAGGAAGGAGGACAAGGAAGAGGAGGAGGAGAGGGGAGTGCAGGAAGAGAGTGAAGAAGCCTGCAGATCCTGCATCATATGAAAGAAGTCTGCCAAATCCAGCTCCCCGTCATCGTCGCTGTCATAACGCTCAAAAAGCAGCGGGAGGTCGTTCACGGTGTAGCCCCACTCCGCGAGCGTGCGCTTCGTCCTTTCGACGAGCAGGATCAGGTCTCTGTCCTGCCACACGGATGAAAAAGCGTTCCCGAGGACGCCGATGGGCATCGCCATGTACGCGGCACTGAACACCATCAAGAAAGAAAGAATCAAGCGGCCCCAATCGCTGACGGGGTAGACGTCGCCGTAGCCCAACGTTGTCATGCTGACCTTGCCACCGACGGATCTCGTGGCCGGATGCCCAATCCCGATCGCAGGGTCTGGCAGCAGCTCTGGTCACGGCGACTAACCCGCGGCCAGGCCGCCCCCCCTTCCGTGCCGACCCCCGTCTGTGACGAGCCCGCCGCCTCCGTCCAGCAGAAGATAGGACGATACTGGTGTCATGATAAGATAGGCTCAGGGCACGTTCCGAGAACTCCTGAGTTTCCAGCGGCCCTCGTCTCTGCAGAGCGTGTGCAATGTTGGGAAATCTGGGAATCCCAGGAAAACTTGGAAATCCTGGAACGTATCATTATCATGACTTCCTGCTCATCTACGAAGACGTGCCTCGAGGGTAGGCACGAACGAACAACCCACCACAACGGACAGATGTCTGTGCCTACCGAAGACCAGATGGGGGAGGCCATGGCCTCTTGGATCTAGTACATCTGCAAAAGACAAACATGCATTGGAATGGCGAGACACCGAAGTTACGACGGAGGGGGGAGCTGGAGAAGGGGGAGGAGGGGGAGGAGGAGGAGGAGGAGGAGGAAGAGGAGGAGGAGGAGGAGGAGGAGAAGAAGGAGGAGGAGGAGGAGGGGGAGGAGCAGGAGGAGAAGGGGGGGCGGTTTGTCAGGGAGGGGCCAGGCCCGAAACCAGCCGATCAAAACAAGACCGGCGATGGCCCGTTCGCGGCCCTCGCCGGACGCGGACGGCAACCGCCCTGCTAGGGCGCTGGCAACGGTGAGCCAGCAGGCGTGGGGGTACGACTCGATGTTGTCCTGGCGGCAGGTCCCCCTGAGGCTCCCCAGTCCCCCTCCCCGCATCAAGCGGCCAGAGCTTGCCTCCACATCCCTGCCCACTCGAGCTTGAGATTTTGCCTGCCGTTGCCGATACCACGGGGCGTGCCGAAGAAAGGAGATACTGTCCTCGGGCTCGACCAAATACAACAGCGAGGCAGCTGTGATAGCAATGGTGACGCCCACGAAGCCGAGAAACACCATACTCTCCCTGACCTTGTCCACGACAGACTGGAAAATCTGCAACTGCAACTGCTGCTTACTGAGGATCTTCATCAGCCTGAAGGTCGGGACGAAGAACATGAGAATGAATCGGATGGCGCTCGAGGGGTCCATTCTGACCGGAGGCTCGAACCTGCAGGGAAATCAACAAGGCAACGATCTGACACCAGAAAGATTAAGAGGACAAGGAGGATGTCGCTTGAATACGCTTGAGTATAACACGGTCATCATGCTACTCTGAAGACCGCCGAAGAAGAACCGAAGGGGCCTGTCTGGCCACAGCGAGCCTCGGTCACGAATCTATGCCCCGACCTGTAATATGCTAGACCTACGGGACGCTCCGAACAGAGCCCCTCATGAGCCCAAAATTATCCTCATGTCAGCGCCTTGACTGCGTGTATATATGCTACACCTCTGCACCGTAGAAAATCACACTCCTCTCGGGCGTTGGCAGAACTGGGTTTAGTGGAACCTGGGTTAGTGATTTGTACTGGGGGCGCCCCCCCGCCCCATTTCCACTGACCGGAACTGCCGTCACCCGACAAACACCAGTTACGGCAAACCTGGTTTAGTGAATCTGGCAATGGAGGGGCCCCGGGGCCCTACCACTAACCGGGTCCCCTTACCTGGTGTCCTGGCTATACCCGATCCTCCTCCCATGAGGACGCTCTTTGCCTGGGCCAGCGCTGATCCGGCTCCGCCGGGGGCCACGTCGCGCACCGACGAAGCTGCTCTCGAACCGAGGTCAACGGAGGGAGGATGGTCGACCCCCACGTGGCCCCCCCAAGCCCGGGTCCAGCCAGAAGCGGGGGGGGCCGACCCCCGTCGGCGCTGCCCTTGTTACGTGCGCCACGACTCCTCCTGATCCTCCTGATCCTCCTCCTCCTCCTCCTCCTCCTCCTCCTCCTCCTCCTCCTCCTCCTCCCCTTCTCCATAAAGGGCAAGTTGTTAGGGCGAGTTCAGTTGTTAGGGCGGGCCAGTTGTTAGGGTGGGCCGAGCGTTTCGCATGAGCCTTCCTCACAATTGATGACAATGAACTGAAACATTGACAACAGTTACACAGATGGACGGCGGGTGGCTTTCAAAATGTGGTTCTCGCCTTAGCGCCGCGCACATTCGTTCCCAACCATCCTGTGGTGTTGGGCCCCCGTTTTGAAGAGACAGCGCCCCGCATTCCTTCCTTCCCGCTGCCCCCTCCCTCCTTCACCTCCTCCCTCCTCCCTGCGTTCCACCCACCCAATACAGCGTTCCGTGGCCCCATAGGGTGCTCCACCGAAGGCCCCAGTGGCAGGGAGCATGCAGTTCCACCCCCATGTCGGCGCACCCCTCACACGTTACGCGGCCTCATAGGGTGCTCCACCCAATGCCCCAGTGGCAGCGTCCGCATGCAGTTCCACCCCCGTTTCGGCGCACCCCTCACACGTTTCGTGGCCCCATAGGGTGCTCCACCCAAGGCCCCAGTGGCGGGGTCCGCATGCACTTCCACCTCAATTTCGGCGCACCACTCACGCGTTCCGTGGCCCCATAGGGTGCTCCGCCGAAGGCCCCAGTGGCAGGGTCCGCACGCAGTTCCACCCCCGTTTCGGCGCACCCCTCACACGTTTCGTGGCCCCATCGGGTGCTCTGCCGAAGGCCCAAGTGGCAGGGCCCGCATGCAGTTCCACCCCCATGTCGGCGCGCCTCTCACACGTTTCGTGGCCCCACAGGGTGCTCCGCCGAAAGGCCCCAGTAGCAAGGTCCGCATGCAGTTCCACCCCCGTTTCGGCGCACCCCTCGCACGTTCCGTGGCCCCATAGGGTGCTCAGCCGAAGGACCCAGTGGCAGGGTCCGCATGCATTTCCACCCCCATGTCGGCGCACCCCTCACACGTTTCGTGGCCCCATAGGGTGCTCCACCCAAGGCCCCAGCAGCAGTGTCCGCATGCAGTTCCACCCCCATGTCGGCGCGCCCCTCGCAGGTACGGTGGCCCCATAAGGGTGCTCCGGCGAAGGCCCCAGTGGCAGGGTCCGCATGCAGTTCTACCCCCCCATGTCGGCGCACACCTCGCACGTTTCGTAGCCCCATCGGGTGCTCCACCGACGGCTCAGGTGGCAGCGTTTGCATGGCGTACCCGTGTCAACTCTGGCACCCCTGTCACACGCGTCGTGACCCCAGAGAGGTCCACCGAGGTCGATACCCACAACTGCGTTACTCACAACTGCACATGGACGGGCCCCTCGCCAAGATAATATTTGCATCCCAAGCGTTTCACGGATTGAGGGCGACCCGTTTTCAAAATGTGGCTCTCGCGTTAGCACCGCGCACTCTTGTAACAAGTTGCAAGGGTGTCTTACAACTTTGCAAGAATTTCACGAATTGAGGGCGGCCCATTTTCAAAATGTGGCTCTCGCGTTAGCGCCGTGCAAATTCGTTGTTTACATCTGCAAGAATTTCACGGAATCCCATGATCAGCGTACCAGAAATTGCGTTTTGGAAGGATTTAGGACTATGAGTGCAAGAGTTACGTTGATTCGCGTTGTTGAAGTCCTATGATCGGCGTTCTGGCACCACTCCGGATCGCCAAGACGCTGCTTTGGCATGCTTCAGGATCTTCAAACAGTAGACTTCCAGCGAGGCAGTTCCCCTAATGGAAAAGCACAACTGTAGGGGCCAATGATGAGGGAGCTTGGAGGGAGGGTTTATTCCAACATCGTTGATGACTCTTGGGTTTACTATGGTCCTCCTCCTCCTCCACCTCCTCTTTCTCCTCCTCGTCCGTCTCGGAACGGCGGCAAGGTTGGCTCTCCTCCCCTCCGACATCGCATTTTTTCGTGACACGGCCCCGCGGGAATATCTGCACGGGGATCTCGACCCCTTTCTCAGGGCCAGAATTCCATCCTGAATCATATCTTCACGGTCCCAAGGCTGGTGAACGGCCTCCTGTGCAAGAAAACGTCCAAAAACCGGCGGTCACGATTTGTGCTGCGTCACCTGCATCTGAGGGTTGGCCGCGTGGAGCTGAGCCTGAAGCCACCACAAGGCGGGATAGAGCCACAACGCCAGGGCTGTTTGTGCTGCTCGGCCCAGACTTGGCGGCGTGGCCAACGACGAAAAATCCAGGGACATCGCAACAGTGCCCAACACGAGAGCCTCTGGGCCGCCAGACGCTTCTCGGGCCCCGGCATTGTAAGAAAACGGCCAGACTTGGCGAGGTGGCCGACGATGAAAACTTCTCGGGGCCTCGCAATGGTTCCCGACACGAGGGCCTCTGGGCCGCCAGGCGCGACTCGGGCCCCAGCACTGAGAAAACCACCCAGAATGAGAAAAGCCAGCCTCGCAGAAGACGTCGAAAAGCTCGGGCGCCACATGGTTCGGACAAGAATCGGCATGCCAAACGCCTGCTGGGGGCAGTAAGACTTCCGGCGCCCTGATTGCTTCAGTACGGGGCGTCCGAAGTCGGAGATTTCGCCACGGCGCTACTACCCAGACATCCGACAACGTGCTGTTTTTTTGAAGTCGCGGCCCCTAAGTCCCGACCCCTTCCCCAGGAGCAGTTGTTCGTCCCAGATCCACTGCTGCTGGTCCCGGGGCCCAGTGGCGGGCCCCAGAAACGAAATCGAGGAAGCGCAGCGGGATTTAAAGAATCACGTCGTCGGCGGCCTGGGATGCCCACGGGGGGTCCTCTGTTATAGGTCTCCTGGCGGTTTCCTGCACTGTCTCGCGACATCGAGACACATTTTCGGAGGGAGACGCCGGGAGCGGACGGCCATGACTCACGCCACCAGCCTCGCCAGACGCGCCGCCGCGAGGGCAAGCCCCTCGCAGAGTTGTCCTGCGCACGTGGCCGACATGCTTTACCAGCCTGGAACATCTCCCTATCCCTATGCTGGGCACCTCCTCATCACGACGCCAATCTTATGGACACCCTTATTTTTTTGAGGGCGAATCCATAAGATTGTCATCGCCTTTTGGCGTGTCAATCTTAGGGGTAGGGATACTTTCTAGGCTGGTAAATGCTAGCTGCGGAGACCGACGAGCTGAGCAAGCACCCACAGGCTTCGCTGGGCACGGGCCTCAGATCGAGGACAGGCCGGTACACCCAAGAATGAAGAGGCGGCCCGCAAAGGCAGAACAGAATCAACGAACATGTCACGACTTACGGCCCGCAAATGCGGAAGGAGGAGGGGGAGGAGGAGGAGGAGGAGGAGGAGGAGGAGGAGGAGGAGGAGGAAAGGAGGAAAGGAGAGCAGACAAAAGAAACGCACAACAAACTGCAATGCATCCGCCCTCGGCCGACGACAATCAGTCGTGGTAATGTTCCCAGGGGGCCGAATCAGCCGCAAAACATCGACCCCACATTGCATTACGCTGAGTAATGCAGCCCCGTCGCAGAAACGGATTCGCAGCACGTGCGCAGGAGGGGGAGGAGCAGCAGCGGCACAAAGGAAAGTAAAGAGAGGAAGAGGACGACGAGGAAGAAAAGAAGAGAGGACTACATATAATATCCAGGGCCGCGCAGTGGCATACTAAACAAGGCTAGAGCCTTGCAGTCACCGACTGACAACTATTCCAGCGTCGCTGCACGAACCAACCTGCAATAAGCGGCCAAGTGCCACGAACTGAAATACACAGAGTGCTGCGCACCGTGCTCGTGAAGCTAACTTCACAGTAGCCCAACCTTGAAAAGTCGAACCGGGCTGCACATTACAGAATGGAGGAATCGAACGGAGCTGCGCAATCGAATCCCGTATATGAAGAGATGCGATTCGAGAGCGCGAAAGGCACGCCTGAAGGCTTCCTACACCAAAACAATGCAAGAAAACCTCGACCAAAAGACGGCCCGCCTCGACCAGTGCACCAACACACCAAGACACTGCAAGAACGCCTCGAGAAATGGCGAAGGGACTGGGCACGCCTCGAACAGACCTCGGCCCGCCAGATGCCCGTCGCACTGGCGCGGGGATGCATGCAGACGTCTGGAGTCCCGAAACGGTGCGGTGACGGACCGTGCGGTGACCTCGAAATCCCCTCAGACCTCACTGCACGGTCCGCCACCGTACGGCCTTGAGACCCTGGAGGCCCCTGTCGCCCGAGACATCCTCGGAGAGGCACTCGAGCCCCAAAACCCTGCAGTGACCCCGCATCCCCACCGCCTCACCGCACGGTGTGGTCACCACACCGTTCGGGGGCAGTCTGCCGCGCCTGCACGGAGACAACGGACCCCCCCGGGGGACCGGCGGGCGCCTCGGCCCCTGCAGCCCCGCGTCTCCGCGCCGCACCTCCCTCGCGCCGTAGAACTCCGCTCCTCCTCCTCCCCCTCCTGCTCCTCCCCCCCCTCCTCCTCCCCCTCCTGCTCCTCCCCCCCCCTCCTCCTCCTCCTCCTCCTCCTCCTTCTTCCTCCTCCTCCTCCTCCACCTCCTCCTCCTCCTCCTCTCCTCCTCCCCCTCCTCCTCCTCCTCCTCCTTCTTCCTCCTCCTCCTCCTTCTTCCTCCTCCTCCTGCTCCTCCTCCTCCTCGTTTTCCTCCTCCTCCTCCCCCGAGCCTCCCCTCGCTTGTGGAGAGACAAGAAACGACGCTCCTCCCCCGCGCCGTGGACCTCGGCCTCTGCTCCTGCTCCTCCCCGCCGACGTTCCATCGCTTGTGGAGAAGCAGAGGACGGCTCCCTCACAGAACCGAGAAGCAGACAACGCTTCACTCGCAGAAACGATGAACCGCTGGGGGGGAAGCTCAATCGACCCGAACGAAGCCGCAACGTTTCCTGCTGCCCGAAGCCGAAACTCACCCGAAACGAAGCCGACCCAAACGCAAACCTGAGCCAGGGGAGGGCCTGGCCATCGTCGGCCTCCGGGAGCGCCCGCCGTACCCCAGGACCGTCCGAAGACTGCCCGGGGCGAAGAACCGTCCCGGGATGCACACACGAACAAAACAAAAACTGAAATAAACAATGCAAAACAACAGAAAGAAAACAATTGAAACAAACTAAACTACCAAGAACAATCATAACTAAAACAAACAAATAAAAAAACATCAATTGAAATACACATGCAAAACAAAAACTGGAAAAATAGACTGAAAATCAATAACAAACATAACAACAAATAAACAATCCAACACACAAACGTCTCCAGGGGCCACGCGTCGGAGGTCTGGGCCCTCCCCCTCCTCTTAAGGAGAGCCAGGAAGAGCCTGGTGGCCGCCCGGAGCACGAGCGGGCAGACGGAGATGAGGTCGACGATGTTGAAGAAGCTCCAGGCGAAGGACGACTTGTCTGGGAAGGGGGGGGGGGAGGAGGAGGAGGAGGAGGAGGAGGAGGAGGAGGAGGAGGAGGAGGGCGGTGGAGCTCGCCGAGGGAGGAAGACGAGGAGGAAGGCGGGGGGAAGGAGCCGGAGGAGGAGGGCGAGGAAGGGAAAGTGGGAGGGGAAGCAGGAGGAGAGCGGAGGAGAAGCAGGAGGAGAATGGAGGAGGAGGAGGAGGAGGAGGAGGAGGAGGAAGAGGAGGACCGAGGAGGACGAGCAGGAGGGGGAGGACAAGGAGAGAGGGGAGGAAGGGAGGGAGGGAGGACCTGGGCAGGTCACGAACCGAGCGGAGAGCTCTAGCAAGAAGACGCTCTCCGCTAGCACCTCGAGCGCGGAGACGGTGGGGCCAACCACCGGCCTGCTGCTCCCCCAGGACTGCGACAGGGTCAGCAGCGTGCACAGGCACACGAAGGTGCACCAACCTCGCGGGGCGGGCCGAGGCACCCCACCCGGACGCGCTCGTCGCTCTCTTGGGGGCTCCGGAGGCCCCCGGGAAGCCTCCGAAGGAGAAGTCTCCAGGCACCTCCTGTGGGGGGGGGCCTCACCTCGTGACCCCCTCTGGAGACATCTGACCGGGCGCTCGTGGCCACCCCGTCCGTGACAGGAAGAAACTGGAGGCCTCCGAGGCTCTCCTGGCACCTCGGGACCTTCCCAGACCTCGGACGTCGTGGTCATCGTCAGAACGTGGTCCCCTTGAGGTCTGGACCTTTTGCCCAGGCCCGATGTTTCATCCCGAATATTTTGGATTGACGGCCTGGGGTCCGTTGATGGCCCCCTTGGGGGCCGAAAATTGTCAGAAAGCTCGTGTCGTGATTTTCGGACGCACAGAGGAAGGCGTGGGTTTGGAGAACTTGTACCCAGGCGTCGTAAACGGCCCAAGAATTAATCAACGAACATCAGCGGCGAAGCGAAGCGAAGCGCGCAGATCCGCGGAAACGGGGCCCTTGAGGGTCAGCGCGGGGGGGGGGGGGGGCGGAGCCCCAAACAACAAAGGCGCGCCGCGGAAAGGCCCCAGGGGGGGGGGGCCCCCCCCCCCCCCCCGCCCTTTTCCCCGATCCGTCGTCGGGGACCCCCCCCCCTCCCTCCTTTTCCCGATCCGTGATCCGTCGTCGGGGACCCCCCCCTCCCCCCATTTCCCGGTCCGTCGTCGGAAACCCCCCCCCTCCCCATCGGCGACTACAAAGGGTGCGGTTTGCGAAGGGTGCGGTTTGAGTCGCGTCATATCTGCCCTTCCCGCCCCCTGGAAACGGATGGCACTGTCACTCAACGCGGCCGAATTTCATGGCACTGACGCTCCATCCAATAGAGTGGTACCCAATTCGAGGATGACGGTGTCGCTCGAAGCGACGACAACAATGCCATTGTCTCTCGCAGAAGGCACCGGAAACGCCGCCACGAAGCATCTCGCAAACCGCACCCCAGCGCAACCGCACGGATTGTAGTCGCCGCCCCCCCCCTTTCTAAAGGGGGGGGGGTCCGACCCCCCCCCTTCCCCCGCCCCTTTCGCCAAGGCGCCCCCGGGCTCTGGAATCCGACCCCTACCACCCCCAACACTAATCCTCACCCTTACCCGAACCCCATGACCCTAGACCTGCCCAAAACAGCACTCACTACTCATTACGCACTACTCACTACCCACTACTCACAACTCGTTACTCACGATTCACTTCTCACTACTCACTACTCACTACTCACGACTCCCTACTCACTACCCACTACCCACTACCCACTACCCACTACTCACTACGCCCTACTCCCTACTCACTACTCCCTACTCACTACTAACTACTCAATACTCAGTACTCCTTATTCAAAACTCACTACTCACGAAGCACAACTCACTACCCACTACTCACTAATCAATACTCGCTGCCCACCAACCACCAACAGCTACGCACCAATCACTACTCACACTTCACTACTCACTACTCAGGGCCCACTACTCACTACTCACCATCCACTACTCGCTACTCGCTACTCCCGACTCCCTACATAATACGCACTACTCACTACTCACTACTCACGATTCGCTACTGACTACACCCTACTCGCTACCCCACACGCACTATTCACTACCCACTACCCAGTACTCACTACGCACTACTCACTACTCACTACTCCCTACTCACTACTCACTAGTCACTAATAATTACTCACTACTCTCTACTAGCTACTCACCACTCACTAAATCACGACTCACCACTCACCACTCACTACTCTCTACTCGATACTGACTACTCACTACCATAAACTAGCTACCCACTCCACCCTTCTCACTACCCACTTTTCCCTACTCAAAACTCACTACTCACTACTCGCTACTACCTACTCGCTACTCACCACGCCCTACGCACTACTCACTACTGCATGCTCCCTCCTCACTACTCACTTCTCACAACGCCCTACACGCTACTCACTACTACTCATCACTCGCTACTCACTATTCGCTACTCACTACTCACTACCCACTAGCCCTACCCACTACCCAACATCCACTACTCACTACTCACTACTCACCTATCACTACGCACTATTCGCTATTCACTACTCACTCCTCACTACTAACTACTACTGTCTCTCTAGTCACTGCGCAAAACTCACTACTCACTAATCACTACTCACTACTCAATACTCACTATGCACTACCCACTATTCACTACTAACTACTCAGTACTCACCACCCACTACCCACTACCAACCACGCACTACTCACTACCTCCTACTCCCTACTTCCTACTCAGTACGCACTACTCTTTACTCACTATTCACTACCCTCTACTTACTACTCGCTACTCACTATGCACCAATCAGTGATCACCACTAACGGTTCCCTACTTTGCAATTAAGTACTCAGCACTCACTATGCACGACCCACTACTCCCCAATCCCTACTCCCGATGCCCTACTCGCTACTCACGACCCACTATTCACTACTCACTACTCACGACTCACTATTCACTACGCACTACTCACTACATACTACACAATACTCCCTATTCCGTACTCCCTACCCACCTTCTCGGGTGCAGAAAGGAGAAGCGGGAGAAGCCCCCTCCCCCTCCCCGGCCCCCTGTTCGGCGCAAAGGGGGGAAGGGAGGGGGGGAGCCGAACCTCCCCCCCCTTTCCAACGCCAAGGGGAAAAGAAAAGGTGGGGGTCCGGACCCCCCCCCCCTTCAGGGGGGGGGGTGAAGGGAGGGTTCCGACCCCCCCCCCTTAAAGGGGGGAAGGGGGGGGGGAGGTCGAAAATCTCCCCCCCCTCTTGAAGGGGGGGAGGGGGGGGGGGGTTCTACGAGCACACACCCCTTTTCAATTACAGGTCATCCATTTGCGCGCTTTCCCTAACTACGCCGTGGTGTCGGTGATCACCTGGCTCCTGGCTCGAAGACGTTCGTAAAGAAGCCGTCGCATGCGCGACATGTCGTCATTCCAATTCGTGCCACGCGCAGCTGTCGCAGGCAAGCTGGTCCGACCGCGTCTTGGACCCAAGCACGCGGACGGGTCCCCCAAAAAACGCCCGCCAACACCAACACAGGGGGTTGCCTCCACAGGGGAAAGACGATCCTCGATATCGGTGTTGGTGGTAATCTTTCGGCTGCCAGGAAGCCCGAATATTACCACCATCACCGAGGTCGGGAGTATTTTCCCTCGTTATGTTGCATCCTCGGGGGACCTTGTCTGTCCCGTCGCGGCCCTGTCCGCGTCGAATCCGTGTCGAATCCATGTCAGGCGCGTCGGATCCGTGTCGAATCCGTGTCGAATCCGCGTCGAAGCCACGCCGAATCCGCGTCGAGTCCGCATCGAACACGCGTCGGGCCCCCCAAAAGACACCAATTTCTGGGACAGGCGAGGTCCCCCGAAGATGCAACAGGACCCTCGGTATAGGCTCACAGCCGATGTTGGTGTTAGTGTCAACCTGTAGGCCTCCGAAGAGGGAAGCACGACGGGCCCGACGCGGGGCGGCCACCGGCCGCCCCGTGCTGGGCCCCATGGGGGGGGGGGCCCTCCCCGCCAGGAGGGCCCAGAGCTCGAGGGGCTCGGCACGCCAGGCCCGGGCGGGGGGCCGAGGGCCGATGGCCGAGGTTCGGCCATGGACTTTTGGTGATGCTTTCTCGGTCTCCTCCTCCTCCTCCTCCTCCTCCTCCTCCTCCTCCTCGTCCTCCTCCTCCCCTTCCTCGGGGGAGTCTGAAGCAACAGGGGGGATGAGGCGATCCAGCACCAGCAGCAGCAGCGCAGGCCTCCCAAGCGTGGCCACAGGCCGGTGAGTCGGCGACCGTCGGCACGGAGAAAAATCGGACTCCGGATCGCGCCGCATATCAAAGGTGCGGCGAGGGCCTGCGGCCCCTGCTGCTTCGGCCCCGTTTGCGAGGCCTGGGCATCAAGCAAGAGAGGCAGCGAGGCGACTCGGCACCACCATCAGGAGAGCAGGACGGCCGAGATGGAGCAAGAGAAGCACGATGGGGCAGGAGCAGTGCGGCGGGCAACGGAAGAGCAAGCGGAGGATGACTGAATGCACGCAGGCGCAGGACGCTTGCTCTGGCTGGTTCTGCACCCCACAAGCCTCGAGCCCATATTCTGGCGGATACGGTCGCGTCGCTCGAGAGGACGTTCCACCACCAGTCCGCTTTCCGACTCCTGCGCTCGAACATGGCCGAGGCCCTCTTGATGAAAGAGCTCGTCCGCTTCACCCCTAGCGCCTGAGAGTCGAGCGGGTCGATAAGGTCACCCTCCTGTGCTGGCACGCTTAAGGGCGGCGGCCCTCTAGGAAATCCTCCTGCCTCATTGCAAGGTGCGAGACGTATGGTCTTTGGGGGGGGGGGCGAGACCCTTCCAGCAACGGAAACGATGCTCTCAAAATGTCGCTTGGCTGCTTTCCTCCACAATCGACCCCCCGATCCGTCTTGGAGCACGTACTGACTGAGAGCTTGCATCGAGTCCAGCCGTTGCGACGAGGGCCCTCCAGAGGCCCGAGAGAGGGCAGGGGTGTCGACAGCAACCTCGGGATCCCCCCCACAGCGCGCAGAGGAGGGCGGGCGGCGGCCTCCAGAGAGGGCGCGGGTGCCTTCCCAGAAGGGCCCTGGGGCCTCTTGAAACCTATGCACTCCGCAGCGCAGCTGCGCGTGTGACCGCGGCGGCCCTGGCGACACGCCATGCCCTGCAAGCGGACAGCGTGTCGCTTGGAAAGGCTGGGGACGGTGAAGCCTTGGTGCTGGGAAGTGGATAGCGTGTCGCGCCTGAGCGTACCAGAACCGGCGGTGCACCACGCGAAGCAAAACTTCGACCCTATGGAGGGGAGTGCAGCGGACGGGGAGCCGACACAGGGCAAGATGACGACTCGGCGAGGCAATGGCGAAGCCACCAAGCTACGCGAGATGCAGGGCACACGCAGGGAAGTGAAGTACAGAGCCACGCAGAGGGGCGTCCTGCGAGCATGATCCAAATCCGGCCTGTAAGATCGGCCCTCCGGGAAGGCGTCTTAGAAGGCCGGGGGCCAGGGGGGGGGGGGCTTCTGAGATGTCTCGTGTGCCTGCTTAATTTACATGACGGGTTCTGCTGCACAGGAACGAGGATACCGCCACACAGCCGCGCACGCTCAGCGAAACATGATAGACAGGGCTGAGAGAGAGAGAGGGGGAGCGAGAAAGAGAACGGAGTGGACACCAGATCACAGCACGGGGCTCCAGTGGCGGGCCAGACTCGAGGATCCGAGAAGCACAGAGCACGGCACAACAGATAGCAGCGCACAGGGAGAACCGGCTGTGGCATCCACTGGACCGTCCGACGGCCGGGCCAGGCGGATCGGCGACCCAGAAATCGCAGGCCTAGAGGATGACACCAACACCAATATCGGCGGTGTGCCTCCACCGAGGGAAGAAAATCCCGATCTCGGTGATGGTGGTCATATTCTGGCTTCCAAGGTGGCCGAAATATCACCACCAACAACGAAATCTAGGATCGCCTTCCCCCTATGGAGGCAACCCCCTGTTTTGCTGTTGGTGCCCACTTCCAGGCCTCCAAAGAAAGGCGGGCGAGCGCGCGGGCAGCCATCGCTTGAGCAGCCATCGCCCCGCGCGCAGCTCGCGGTCGGGAACTTCTGCCCCGCGCGGCGCGGCGGTCCGCCCCGACGGCGCGCGGCGCCTCCGAGAGCTGCTATGGCGCGTCGCGCCGCTCTCCGCGGCGGGGGGCGGGGGGGCTGCGAGGAGCCCAGAGACGCCGACGCCTGGGGGCCAGGGAAGGGGCCCCTGGACACACAAACAAATCCACACAAATAAAAAGATTCCCCATATTTTCCCAATATTTTCTGGGTTTTTGTCTTCCCCACCACTTCCCGTATTTTCCCATATTTGCTGGGAATCGACGATTAAGTGTGTCTGTGTGTCTTTTCCCCTCCTGGACCAGGGCGTGGACGGCGCGTCGCGCCCGAGGCACGGAGGGCCGAAACCGGCGGAGCGACGCGCGGAGGCGAAGTTCCTGGCCGAAAGCAAGTCCGGGTGCGCAGAGGAGGCCCCGTGGGTGTAGGAAGCGTGCGGGGCGGTCCGGGTGGAAACGCAAAGCAAAACCGCGCGAGCCGCCTGGCAGGCAAGGGAAGAGACGGAGGAGGAGGAGCCCACGCACCCGCAAGAGGGAGAAGGGGGGAAGGCGGCTCCAAAATTCGCTGAGACGAAGTTCCTGACCGAAAGTAGTCCAGGTGCGCAGCTTGCCGTCGCTCGGACGTCCATTCCCTGTGTTTGTTGTCGGTTTCGTGCGTGTTTTTTCTCGCCAAATGATCAAGGATGCTCCTCGAGGGTCCTCGCCGAAGGAAACATGCACACGTCCGATCGATGCCAAGGAGAGGAGGCGGAGGAGGAGCACGCGCACCCGCAAGAGGGAGGAGGGGGGAAAGCGGCTTCAAATTCGCCGAGCGGCGGCAAGTCTTGCCGGCATTGACGACACTCCTGGAGCAACCGACGAGGAGGGGAGAGAGGGAGGGACGACGAAGAAGGGACAGGAGCGGGAGGAGCGACTTCGCGCCAGACCCAGGGGCCTTCTTCCCCCAGGACCAGCTCTTCATCCCGGGTCGTGTCTTTTTGACAGTCCTGGGGCCGAGGGGAGGGCCCAAGGAGTCCGAGCACGGAGGAACAGCTCCAGGACCCCCCTCCCTCCCTCCACGGCGGGCTCAGAAGGCCGCCCCTTCCCTTACTTCGGCTACACGCAGGAGTGACCCTGGGTGAGAGTGACCTCTGGTGCGCGGCAGTAGGGGGGGCGCGGGGGAGCCAAACCCAAGCGCGCCAGCCGCTGCTATCGCGGCGCGTTCGGCGATCGGGGGATCCATTTGGGCCCGGACCGAAGGTCACTCCGGCGAACGGCCACCCTGACGTCTAGCCTTCAGTCGGGCGTGTCCCCCTACAGGGGGATTTTGGACGAAAAATGAAATACTCACAAAAAATACTCCAAAATGGTCAAAACATATTTAAAAATAGTCCCCGGGCTATTTTTGTTGAGTATGTTTGGTCATTCCCTCTGTAGAGGGACAGGCCCGACCTAAGCCTAGCCGATGACTTGCCTTCCCCGGCACCGCCGGCGGCCCGAGCATCCCGCGCTTCGACTCCCCCGGTGCGCGGTGCCCCCCGGTGCGCGGGGCCCCCCAGGGGGCCGGCGTCGCACCCCGAGCCGTGCTTGGACGGCCCCGCGGCCCGGAGCCAGCCTCCAGGGGCGACGCAAGCAGCGAGAGCCCGGTCGCCTCGACTCCGGTTCGGCGGCCCAGCAGGCCACCCCCCAGGCGACGCAGAGTCGGCGCTGGGCCTGCCAATTTTCCAGTGGAGGGACGCCCTGAAGGAGGAGGAGGAGGAGGAGGAGGACGAGGAGAGGAGGAGGAGGAGGAGGAGGAGGAGGGAGGGAGGAGGGAGGAGGGAGGAGGAGGAGGGAGGAGGGGAGAGGAGGAGGAGGAGGAGCAGGAGCAGGAGGAGGAGGAGGAGGAGGAGGAGGAGGAGGAGGAGGAGGAGGAGGGGAACCCGTACGCCTCCCAGCCGGAAGTTTGGGAGGTCTGGGACCGTCGGGTTGGGTTGGGGTGGTTTGGCAAGTCGTGATTGTTTGAAGCGCCGAGCGTCTGACCCTCGGATCAGAACCTCGGGTCCCAGGCGGCCGTGCGCGGCGATCCAGGCACCCCTGGCACGCCCTCGGCGAGGCGCAGCTGCTGGGAGCCACGAAAAACGACACGACACACATTTTCTCGGAGGGACGCGCGGACTTCTTGGAACGGCGCCGCCCCCCCCCCCCTCCTCCGGCGCGCGGAGCGCGCCAGGGGCGGCGCCGGAGGTGCCGCCAGTGGACCCAACGCCGATCCAAGAAATCAACGCGGACCTCCGAGAAACTATGTTTGTGCTGTTTTGGGTTACAAACAAGAATCCTAATAAGGACGCGCGGTCAGGACGCAAGACCCTTGGAAGCCGAAGTCGGGATTTTTGGGGCGGCGGACGACGAAAACCTCAAGGACGCACGAGCAAGGAAGAGCAAGGACGCAAGGGTACCCTGAGCAAAGTCGCGCGTCCTTATTAGGGTTTTTGACTGCATTCGATCGAAGCCCCCTCAAGCATCTACGGGAACGGCAGAGACGCCTCGAGCCTCGAACATCGAGGCCCTCCTCCTCCTCCTCCTCCGCGCTGCCCGCCCCCGGGCTCTCCTTCTCCGAGCTCCTCCCCAAGGCGGAGCACGAGCCGCTCGACGCCGACCTCTGGGGGAGCAGAAGAGCACCGTTGCCGCTGCGGTCGGGGACTGTTGCTTGGCGTTCCGCTGCGGCTTCTCCATCATGCGAAAGAGAAATCTAGCAATGTCGTAATCGAGTCGAAGGGAAGCCCATTCCCTCCTTTTGATCTCCTCCCCGTCGGGGGGGGGACTAGGGGGGTGTCCTGCCTGGGGGGGGTCCTGGGGAAGGGTCCTGTGGGGGGGTACCAGGGGGGTGAGGAGCGGGGTAGGGGGAACGGGTCAAGACATCCTCCCCCGCCCTCCCAACACAAGAGTAGCACCCGAGCCGCATCGAGTTTAGCAGTAGTCTTTGGATGGGCAGCCAATAGGAACCAAAACTGACCCCATGCGCGCAAAGCGGGGGCGAGGTGCGCCGTGTGTGCCAGGCGCGCCTCGTGCGCCAGGTGCGCCAGGCAGCCCTCTAGCCCAAACGTGCCTGGACGCCTGCTGCGCCAGATGCGCCACGTGACCCACGCGCGCCATGTGTGCCGCATGCTCCAGCCGCGCCAGGTGCGCAACGTTCGGGGCACGCGCAGAGCGTGCCAAGTGCGCCTGCGCACGTAGCAGCGCACATCGGGAAACGTATCGCCACCACCCTTGTCGAAAAACAGTGCGCAATCGCGGCGGGGTGGCCATCATAGCGTCTGGTTGCCTGCGCAAAGCAAGCAAAATGCCAGCACCCCCGCCGTCCCATGCAAAAACCAAGGCGCAATGATCGGGGGGTGCCCGCGCATGATCCTGATTTTGCCTCGAAGTGCAGCTTGTAGTGTTTTGTTGACAGGGATGCGGGCCCTGCGCACAGCAGGCAGTATGCGGGCACCCCGCCGTCCCCGTCAAAAAGCCATACACCATACTCGCGCCCTCCCGATCATGACCCAAGATTTTGGCTCCAGGTGGACTTCACACTTCTTTGAGGGATGATAGGGGGGGTCTCGTCTGTCCTGGTTGGCTGCCTGTCGCCTGGGGGAGGGGATGTGTTCTTCATTTGGGACAATGTCAGGGGGGGGTAGGGAAGGGGGTTAGGGGGGCAATGGGGTGTGGGATAGCGGCGGGGGTCAGATACGCATTCCCCCCTGGGGCCCCGGCGCTTCAGAAAATACATCGAGAGGCCGCGCGTGCCCCAAGAGGCCCCCAAGACGGTCCAAGAGGGCACCCAATCGTCAAAAGATCGGTCTAAGACGCCTTCACGCCCTCCAGACTGTCCAGGAGGCCTCCAAGACGCCCCAAGCAGCTCCAAGAGCAGTCTCGATAGGACCCCAAGAGGCAAAATGAATTGACGTTCCGTGGCTTCGTTCTTAAAATTCGGGCGTTCTCGCCTTTCCCTCGTCCCGCCGCTCCAACACGACCCAAAAGGGCCCCAAGATCGCCCCGGGACGGCCCACTGAGGCCCCCAAGACAGCTTCAAAAGCGTGCCCAGACAGGGGAGCCGAACGGACGCTTCGAGCCGTCGACCCGCGAGGCCCCCAGGAGGCCCCAAAAGATCCCCAAGAGGCCCCAAGAGGCCCACATGAGGTCCCCTGAGACAGCCCAAAAAGCATGCCCAGACGGGGGAGCCGAACGGACACTTCGAGCCGTCGACCCGGGCCCCAAAAGGTGCCCAAGAGGCCCCAAGAGGCCCACACGAGGTCTCCAGGAGGCCCGTAGAGCCTGGGTCGGCGGCACCAGCCGCAAGGCCTCCGCACTAGCACCGATACCGCTACAGTCCAAAACTGCTGCTTCGTGTGCGGCGGCGGCGGCGGCCCCTGAGACACCCTGTGCCCTGCGAGCACGTGCCGCTCCGCTCCGCGGGGCGGGAGACTGAGAAAGGTTCGGGCGGTTGACGCCTGGGACGTGTCGGCTACACGCAAGGGTGACCCGGGGTAAGAGTGACCTTTGGTGCGCGACTTTGGGGTGGCCGCGGGGGGGCCAAACCCAGGCGCGCGAGACGCTACTATCGCATCGCGTTCGGTGATCGGGGGACCCCATTGAGCCCGCACCAAAGGTCACTCCGGCGAAAGGTCACTCTTACGTGTAGTCGAACGTGGTTGGCGGGTCGCCTCGCGAGGCGTGGTGGGCCAGAACCGGCCGCGCGACACGCCACGCCGAAGTTCCAGACCGTACTCCCCGGACATCTCTCAGGATGCCCTCTGGCCGGAATTTCGGGGAGAATCCAGCCGTGGCGACGATGGACCTCCAGGACGAATAGCAGCATCCAGGCCTTGTCCTCCCCTGAGCTGAGCTGGTGGCGCCTATGAGGGGGTAGGGGAGGCGGCCTTCTGAGAAGGCGGAGGAGCTTCTAAGAAGGCAAAGGCCTTCTTAGAAGGCCCTGGAGGCTGGTAAGAAGGCCTCTGAGAAGCCCGGCGGGCTTCTCAGAAGCCCGCCCGCCCCTCTTGGAAGCACACGGGCTTCTTGGAAGCCCACCCTCTTGCGCCACCCCCCTCCTTCTGGGCGCCGCCAAAGAGCAGCGGCATCGGTGTGCCTCCCCTGACCTTCCAGAGAGCTATTTTTTTTGCACGGGATGCCTAAAAACCTAAAAAACAAAACGAAACAGCCTAAAACCAAGACATAGAATAGCTCTGGGATAGGTTTTTAAGTCGCGTGCTATTGTTTAGCCCTCCTGGAAGGTCAGGGTCCTCCCCCCCGAGGGAGGCCTCCGGGTCAGTCGGGAGGCGACGCTCGCCGAGGAGAGCTGCCGCCGCATCCTCGGGGGCCTCGGGACGGTGACGATGGTCGGCGGCGGGTCCGGGCGCGGCCTCGCCGGCGGCTGGGGCCGGGCGTCCTCTCGGGGCCACGGGCGGGCGTGCACCCGCGCACGCCGGGCGCGCCTCGACGGGCTCGAGAGGCGCCCGGCTGCTCTGCCGCCATCTCGCCACGTCAGAGGGGCCAGGGGGCGCACACGAAGCATCAATAGGCACAAAGTCCCAGGGCTCCTCATTGACTACCTACCAAACCACCCCAACCCAACCCGACGACCCGAATTTGACCCGAGGGTACGGGTTCCATGTGTTTTTTCAAATGTTCCCCGACCCCTCCCCAGCTGGAAATGGAGGGCAAACTGAGGCCTTCGGGTTGGGTTCGGGTGGTTTGGTGGGTGGTGACTCCTATTGTCCCATATGTTCCAGGTGTTCGTCTTCCCCCCCACACACACACTTCCTATATTTTCCGATCTCTCCTGGGAGTCGACGATCACTTGTGTCTGTGCGTGTGTGTGTGTGTGTGTGTGTGTGTTTTCCCCCCTCCTGCCGTACGCCCGCAGCGTTTCCCCGCCTCGGGGGGGGGCCTCCCGGCAGCTGCGCCTCGCCGCGGGCGCTCCGGGGGAGCCCCGAGCCGCCACGGGCCCGAGCGGCGACGGGCTCGATCGGGCTCGAGGCGGCCGCTCTGTCGCCACTCTCCTTTGATCGGGGAGACGTAAGACTCGGGTACGAGGGACACGGGTTGGCCCGACGGGGCTATCATAAAAACGACGAGGCCCAATCTGAAATTTGACGCGAGCTCCCGCTGCAGACATCCCACGAAAACTAGACCGTCAAAATCCAGGACGCGATCGTCAAAAAAACGCCGGCAGACCCGAGTTCCGGCTTACTCGGGTCTTGCGTTCCTGCAGGGACCGACCGTCCCGGCATTCCTCTAGTCCTCCCACGAAATGGTCTTAGAACCCAAGAGTGTTCTCAGACAAAAAGCAGTGTTCTCAGAACAGAAGCCCGATGTGTTAGAAAACATTGCCTGGCAGTGCTATATAGGCGAGCCAGGACGCCTGACCACTGCTTGGCTCCTGGCCTCCGGAGCAGGGCCCCAGGCCTCGCGAGGCCGCCGACCAAGCACCCGTCCGGGGTGGCCGCCGGCCCCGGGGCAGGAGCCGATAACGATGGGGAGCCACGGGTGCCCGGGCTCGTGGCGCGACGGCAGCGGCGCCGCCTGGATCGGCCGCGGCGGTCCGGCAGCGCCAGATCGTTCCGTGTCGGCCAGTTCGAGGCCACCGGCGGCGCTCCACCCCGAGCGCCCGCGCCGGGGTCGCCGACGCAGCAGGTGCCAGACGCATCCCTGGCCCAGCTGGTGCCCCCAGGGTGTGGCCCAGGAGGCCCACAGAATGGGGCCTCCGGGGAGGCCCTCGCGAGGCCCAGGGGGCCCCAGGGTTTCCAAAACGTAGCGACGAGCTGGTGGGCCACCTCGGGCATCGCCCGTCAAAGAGCGCGGCCCGGTTGGGTCGACCTGCAGGCTGGTGCTGGCAGCAGCCAGGGCGAAAGAAGGCGGAGCGGGCCGTGCTTCGAGGGGCGAAATCAATTATCTGCTCGAGCTTAACGAGCCAGAAAGCAGCACTGTTCCAAAGGCAATACTTGCAACTGCTCTTGCTTTCTCACTTGCGCTGGCCAGGGCCTTGCGTGGCCATCTGATCGTACCGCGGATGCGTGAGCCTCCTCCAGCCTGCTATGACATGGTCGTCGGGTCGGGCCCCAGCTGCGTTGCTTTTCGTGGACTCCTGCGGCCTCCCACGGCAGCCCCACGGCCTGGTTGTCGGGACGGGCCGCGGTGCGTGGCCTCGTGTGGCCTCGTGTGGCCTCCTGTGGCCGTTTGGCCTCCCGTGGAAAACCTCCGTGTGTTCCCGCCGCTGGATGCCTGGGGACACCCAAAGAGCCGAAACTGACCGAACTCGGCAGGCCGCGGGCAGCCTAGAAGGGCTCAGCGCCGCGGGCACGGAGCAACCAACCGACCGAACCGAAGCGATCGAACGCAGCCGACTACGACGCAGCCAACCTGGCCCAGTCGCGGACACCCTTGCGGACACCGTTGACCTTCCTCCTCTTCTTCCTCTCCAATCCTCCTCCCCCTCCTCCTGTTCCTCCTCTCCTTCCACTGCTCATCCCCATGCTCCTCCTCCTCCTCCTCAGCAGCAGCAGCAGCACCATCATCGTCAGCATCAGCAACATAACTATCAGCATCAACAACGTAACCATCCTCATCCTCATCCTCATCCTCATCCTCATCCTCATCCTCCTCTTCCTCCCCATCATCATCATCATCATCATCATCATCATCATCATCAGCAGCAGCAGCAGCAGCAGCAGCATCAGCATCATAATCAGCATCAACATCAGCATCAGCGTCAGCATCAGCATCAGCATCATCATCATCATCATCATCAGCATCATCATCATCATCATCATCATCATCATCATCGTCGTCGTCGTCGTCGTCGTCGTCGTCGTCGACGTCTTCATCCTCATCCTCAGCATCATCCTCATCCTCATCCTCATCCTCATCCTCCTCCTTTCCCTCCTCCTCATCATCAGCATCAGCATCATCATCACCATCATCAGCAGCAGCATCATCAACAGCATCATGCAAATCATACTCATCAGCATAATCATAGTCATAATAACGATCAGCTGCATCATCAGCATCATCATCAGCATCATCGTGAGCATCATCGTCAGCATCATCCTCACCATCATCATCAGCATCATCCTCGCCATCATCATCATCAGCAGCATCGACTGCATCAGCATCAGCATCAGCATCATCGTCAGCACCACACTCGGCATCAACATCATCAGCATCATCATCAGCATCATCAGCATCATCATGGTCAGCATCAGCATCATCATCGGCAGAATCACTACCATGGACAACAACATCTTTATCAGCCTCATTCTTAGAAACTGTATCAGCATCAGCAGCATCAGCATCAGCATCAATATCAGCATCAGCGTCAGCATCAGAATCACCACCGCCATCCTCAGAATCATCATCATCAGCATCCTCATCAGCAGCATCATCAGTAGCATCATCGAATCATTCAGAATCATTATCCCCATCAGCATCATGATCATCACTATCATCACCATCATCATCCGCTGAATCAGCATCATTATCATCAGCATCATCATCAGCGGCATCATAAGTATCATCATCAACAACAGCAATAGCAACAGTCCCAGCATCATCATCAGTATCATCACCACCACCGCCATCATCATCATCAGCATCATCGTCAGCATCAGCAACCTCACCATCATCATCAGCATCATCATTAGCATCAGCATCAACATCATCATCACCATCGACAGCATCATCATGTATTATCCAGCATCATCACCATCATCATTAGCATCATCGCCATCATCACCAACCTTACCATCATTAGCATCATCATCACCATCATCATCGTAGTATCTTCATAATTATCATCACCAGCAGCAGCACTATCAGCAGCAT